AAGCAATCATTTCAAAGATTTTATGTCAGTTTGTATATTGTAAAATGGTGATTTAGGAATCGGCTTTTTTTTCCTATAGCTGTCCTTATTGGTCTTCTCATTGTAATGTTGGCATTTCTTGCGTCTTATTTAAATGATAATATTCTTGTAATCATTTGTCAATTTGTTGGATCATATATTCCACCAATTTTAGGTATTTATTTGCTTGGATTTTTTGCACCACGTGTAAATAGTCGAGTGAGCATATTCAGTACAAATATGGCTTTTCAGATTGTTGATGGGCTTTTTTTCATAGAATGTACTTGTTGCATTTTTATTGTGTTTGATATTTCAAACATGGATTCTTATTGGAGCTAATCTCACAGCAAAACAACATATAGGAAGAAATGGACGATTGCCAACATCTATTGAAGGATGTTTGTCAGCAGTTAATATCACTCAACCCATCACTACGAGTCAGAGGTATCATTTTTTCTATATATATCAATATGATTTAGTGTATGTATTAGTTCAAATAATCCATTATTACCACTTTATTCAATATCTGTAATGTGGTATGCTTTCAATGGTGTTTTTCTAACTATTATTTTCAGTTTACTTGGAACATTTATTTTTGGTAGGATTGATTTTATAAAACAGAATCAATATTCATACGAATATTTAGGTTCAAATAATTCGAAAATGGTAGATAAATCATTATTGGTACTGTGGAAAAATGTTTTTTGTCCGTGGTGTTGGACAAACAAAGTATATATAATTTTATTAAACTAGTTTTTCAATTCATTATACTTCTTTTCTTATCTAGAAATCTACAGATGAGGTGTGTGAATTAGAAATGCAAACAACCGAACAAGAACGAATGCTTTAAATATTTCATCACTGTTACTTTAATCGATAAATAAAGATCTATTCTTCATGTGTAGATTCATCCCCCAAAGAGATACAACTTTGTTGTATAGAAAGTGGATGTGGGTGTTGATCCCTTCTCCTCCTACACATGCATCCACAGAGTTGGAACTGGGAAGAATTTGTATGTTTTCGCCCGTCATGCGAAAACCGAGCACGTTGTGTATCAAACAGCTTTGCAATAAAAATTGTATTTCATTAGACACAATCTTTTCTAATAAAAGAAGTCGATCAAACAAAAAGAACATCGAAAAAGGAAAGTGATCGGAACGTATTTTGCGATATCGAAATCCAATAATTGATAGGAGATCATACAGACGTCTTTTTCTAATATGTCAAGTATATATATTATCAAATTATCTCGACCACCATCGGGTACTTCCGCTAGTATTAAAATAAATTTGTATGATTTTAAATCTTGTTAAATTGTATTTTTTGTCTGAAAGATGATCACCAATTCCAATGTGTATTCATTGTGAGAAGAAAACTTGATTGCTAGAACGATAGAACTATCTTTGTACTACTCGTAAATAAGGAAAAAGATATATTTTTATCACAATAATCAAAAAAATTTCAGATTCTCAAACTTTCGACTTTTGAAATGTAAAAAAGGTGAAATTCCGTAACAAACAGTGTTTTTAGTTTTTATTCTATGCAGTGATAGTTATTAGTAAACAAAGTGGGTGGATGCGGATGTAGGTGTTGAATGTTAGTCTTGTCATCAGCCACATCCTCAATTTTATAATAAAATATTAAACGATTGACTTATTTTTAGTATTACGTGTGAAGTGAACACTTTAAACTTTATATCACATTAAGGTAAGCGTTTCATCGTAAGTTCAGTTTGATGTGAAAGGAACGATGAAATCGAAGGAATTCACAAGAAAACGGCGCCTGGATATGAGTCTTCATACTTGCGCTCAGCTGTTCTTAAAGCTTTTATTGCAGTACGGTTCAAACTATTAAAGTAACTAACTAAGCCAGATAGCAGCTAATCATTCAGTCGAGGGTCAAGCGAGTTATGTTGACGAGCGTTACTTGTTTCTTCGAACACGTGTTTTTTATTTATTCTTTTTTTATGAAATAATGTTCTAATACAATTTTTTGTGAGATTGTTTTTGACTTTGTGTTTTATTTTTTGATTAGACGTTCTTATCGATAATCATGGATTTTGATGATAGAAGAAGAAAATTTATTCTGATATTTTTTAGAAAGATTGGTTAATCGAGTACCAAAAACTATTCAATAGTTTAGGTTTCAATATACTGAAGTATACAGTTTCAAGCATATTTGTACATTCTCGCTATTCCAAATAGTAACATCGATAGATGAACAAGACAGATGATTCTCTCAGCAAAAAGAAGAAGCACACTCATATACTCAAGACCCAAAAAATGGTGATGTAGATTTCTATGCTATATAGATCAATATCCTATTCATTTCATCTTTCAAAACAAAGTTAGCCCAATTGTATTAATAATATTAATTAGTTAAAGCTCTGAAACATCATTTCATGCAAATGTTGAATAAATCAGAGTGTTCTTTCTCTTACGAATTACCTTAAGTTGTATCCTGTGTTCGGATGCCTTACCAAATTATGTGGAAATCACATTAATAAAACAACTTTAGTTGGCATAATAATGATATCGAGTAAAAGTTTAATAAATCTTGAAGATTGAAGCGTTATTATGAAAAAAAAGTATTAATAATTATCAATAAGATCACTGATTCGACATTAATCAAGTAGATATTGAATATATATTTAGTTGTCTTTGGTCTGTACTACAACTTTTGTACCAGCATCAACTAAGAATTTCGTACTTTGGATAGCGCGAACATCTTTTTTTCGATCATTCATTAAAATTCCATGTATTTTACATTAGGTAGGCAAATTAGCAACTCAAAATAGCTTGAATGATCAGATTAAGATTAATTGCCTAATTTGATCACAAACATCATTTGAATATAATCAGAAAAAAATAATGAAAATTACTCATAAGAATTATAAAAACTATATGAAAATATAGATTTTGACCTGATGTAATCGAATAGTGTTATTTGTTTTAAGATTAAAGATACTTTTCATGTCGAAACAATGTTTTTTTTCGAGTACTCCTTATAAAATAGCTTCAATTTAACTTTTTTTAAAAAATCGATGAAGAGATAGAAAAATGTTTACTCTATTCCGGAAATCAAAAATTAGCTCAAATGGATGTTGTGGAGAGAATTTATGAAGTGTTTTTTTTAAAAGATAAAATTTGGTGATCGAATTAGACTTAGACGCTCTATTCTCTAGAGACACGTTTCCACTGTCATGATCATCAACTGTTCTCTTTTTCTCAGAACATTGAAATTCTAAAATTACTGTTAGAAATATTTCAGGTCATCATTTTAACTAAACTAACTTATAGAAGATAACATTATAAAACTTGTTCGTCTCTTGTTCAAAATGAATTCACTACTATTGAGGACACATAAGCTGCGTTCGAACCAATTCTTGCAATAAAGATATAGAGAGGGAAATAATTTTTTCTCTTTTTGTTTCTACAAGATGAAATGTCTAGTTCAAAAACCCATGAGACAAAATATTTTCTATCCCTTCTCATGAGTCTCTGGTGAAAGCATTAAAAAGATGACAACATGCAAATGCAAAATCAAAAGAAGTTGGAAATAATTTCTTCTCATTTTAAGACTAAACAAGCCGTTATCTGGAATTGAATGAAATGTTCTTCATAATGTCAAAAATCTATTGCTATGTTTATTATGGGTGGTGATAGAACAACAGTGAAAATGATCGTGTAAACTCAAATTCATAAAACAACACGTTCTTTTTTCAACGAACACATGATTTAATCTTCGTAGTGCAAAGCATCTTATCTTCAAGACTAATTACATAAGACATTTACTATCAATATATTAACTCTTGTTTGACTGAGTTTTTTTTGTTTGAATATTATATCTCTTATTCTCACCTAACATGGAGCTTAATCAATTGTTAGGTTTTGCAACCAACAATGTTAATGTTCTAAAATGCTACACGTAGGATTGTTCCTGCTAAATTTCACTGCATGAAAACATTTTATCATATCTATTTTTCTAGAAACTTTTCTTCAATGTAAATATTTTAATAGAAGATAGGTTTGTCATCAATGAAAAGCGAAGAAAAAAAAGACAATTGGTTGTAAGTTGTCTTTTATTCATTCTCTATCACAAATAGTAATATAATGAGAGTATCCAATCTTTCTAACGTCAGCAATTTAGCTATAAATATGATAACAGCCACTCTTTTTTTTAACAAAACACTTTTCGCAGAGACATGAACGAAACTTTTTCTTGGATTTTGAAAATTAATATTCAAATATTTGTATGAAAGAGACTTTCACATATTCAAACAAATTTAGTGACTAAGCTATTTTTATCTACTAATAGAACTTTCTTTTTTCTGCTTGCTTTTCTCGCTACTCCACCAAATTAGCGATACCAAAGTTAAGTTGAATTGAGAATTATGTTGATTGACAAGCTCATCACCTTGAATTCAGAATAAACTTGTCACTACAATTCGATTCATAATCCTAAGAATGAAGAGATTACAAAGTCAGCAGTAATAAAGTAACAACAATTCAATGACAGTAATAACATTTCGAGGAACAGTGGAAACAAAAAGTCATAAGAACGCGTCATTATCTTTTTTTCTCTCACTATCTACTTCTTTTTATTAGCTTTCTCTCTAGTTTTAAAAGGACAAAATTTTATTCTAATATAAAAAACCTTCATGGAAATCTTATCAGTTACTATAACTTGTACTAGTATTTATGTCTAGAAACGATCGAGCATTGCTATACTATTTGAAAAAATGTTTCCTACTCAATTTTCTTCTTCTTTTGACACATTTTTCTTCGAACTATTAGAAGATTAATACCTGTTAATCTCTTATTTGACGTCGTTATATTCTAAAAATATTAGAAAAAAAATGTTGTTAAGAACTAGAAGAACAATATAGCAGGAGAATATATTTCGAGGACATGTCTAAGTATTCATATGATGCACTATACTCTAACATAATTATTATGATTATAATGACTTTTCTACAAAAATTCCATGTTTTTTAATTGTCATAAGCGATTTGAGTTACATTTCAGACTATAAAAGGTATAATCTACGACTTTTTTTCAACATTTTACTACACGTCTAATCTGAGCATTGGTCGAAAAACAAAAACAAAGAGTAATTCGCGTATTGCATTGTCTATATATAAACTTAGTTCAAATCTTTCTCTCATCAACATGTCATCAAATATTACTACATACGATAACAGTACATCTGTAGCTATTCCAACGACAAGCGAAAGTTATTTGTCACGAATGATTAAATCGTCCATTCTTCTTACTGGTCAAATAGTGTCAATTCCTTGCTATCTGTTTGTCTTCTATCATCTTGTTGCAACACAAACAGCGCGACGATTACTCCACAATCATGTCATATTCATCCTAATGATCCTTAACTTTCTCATTGTTACCTATGATCTGGGGATGGTTATTAGCTTTTTCCAACATGGAGTCGTTATTCCAGTAACAGTCATTACCTGTTTCATGTGGCAGTATATTGAATATGCGGGTTACAATACAGGCATTCTTCTTATGGTATGGGCATCGGTCGAACGACACATTCTCATCTTTTCGTCGCATTTAGTTAATAGTTCTCGTCGACGACTTCTGTTTCATTACTTGCCTATTGCAGCTATAATCATTTATGGAAATGTATTTTACATTTATGTAATCTTCTTCTATCCATGTGACAAAACTCTTCTTCCTACGCAGAACTATTGTGGACATCCATGCTATATGACTACAGGTTCGGCGGCATTAGCTTGGTATGAGGGAGCGGTTCATCAAGTTTGTCCAACATTTCTGATTACTTTCTTTGGTGGTTTTTTATTATTTCGTGTTATTCAACAAAAACGAC